AGCCTTGACAAGATAGCTCCGCACTATCTCCAAATTTTGCTTCCACTCTTTAGAGAAGCTAGCAGCTCGAGGAGATTTAAACATATTTGGTGCATTGACTGTGTGTGGGAGTAGCGGTTGCTGTCCGGTAACAATTTCAAAAGCGCTTTTGTTTGTACTAGAGCTCTTTTATGAATTGAAACACAGTTGAGCAGCATCTAGAAGCTTCACCCAATTCTTCTGCGATCCGGTTACAAAATGACGGAGATATTCCTCCAACATACCATTGAACTGCTCCGTCTGGCCATCAGATTGCGGATGAAAACTTGAGCTGTGACTCAGTTTCGACCCAAGGCACTTAAAGAGTTGGGTCCAAAAGTTACTAGTGAAGCGTGAGTCACGATCACTAACAATGTCTTTGGGCAGGCCCCAATATTTGACGACATGAGAGAAGAAGATTCGAGCTGTATCTTCTACTGATATATATTGTGGGGCAACAATAAAGGTAGCATACTTGGAAAACCGATCTACCACAACCAAGATAGTTGTTAGATCTCCGACCTTGGGCAATCCGGTGATGAAATCCAGGGAAACACTTTCCCAAGATCTCTTTGGGACAGCTAGTGGTTCCAAGAGTCTCACTTGTGTTAAGCGATCTGACTTGTCCTTCTAGCATACTAGACAAGTCTTCACATACTAAGCAACGTCATCGGCCATTTGAGGACAATAATATGCACGACGAAGTAATGCCATGGTGCGTTCTTCAATGGGATGGCCGACCCACAGAGTATCATGACATTCCGCCAGAAGAGTCCTTCGTAGATCTCCTCCTTTAGGAACATAAAGTCGGTTCCCTTTCACTTTCAGAAAACCATCTTCCATGTAGAACTGGCGAGTCTTGCCCTGTCCTACCAAATCAACCAAATACTGTGCAGCAGGATCTTTGATGAGTAAATCCTGTATCTGGTCCTTGATGGAGGTAGCTACTTCGCTCCCCCTTAGGGTGGCGAGTAGGCACACCGATGCTAGATCAACTCTCCAACTGAGCGCATCAGCAACATGATTGGTCTTCCCACTTTGGTACTCCAAGTTGAAGTGGAATTCAACTAGGAGTTCCTGCCACCTGGCATGTCGACCATTCAACTTCGGCTGGGTCATAAATGGCTAACAGCTGTGTTGTCTGTCTTGACCACGAATGGGGTCCCCAGCAGATAGTACCTCCAGAGGCGCAAGCAGTGGACGACAGCCAATAATTCTTTCTCATGGGCAGCATAGCGCCTCTCTTCATCTTTCAGCTTCCGACTATCATACGCTACAGGATGCCCTTCTTGTAGCAGGACTCCACCGAGGGCATAGTCAAATGCATCTGTTTGTACTTCGAATGGCTTGGCCAGATCAGGAAGGGCCAAGATGGGGCTACTAGATATAGCCGTTTTCAATGCGTTGAAGGCCTCCGCTCGCTTGGGTCTCCATTCCCAAGGCGTGACCTTCTTGAGGAGTTCTGTCAATGGTACTGCAATGAGGGAGTAGTTTTTCACAAATCGCCGATAGAAATTACATAGACCGAGGAATGCCCTCAAGGCGTGGATATCCTTAGGCGGCGGCCAATCTATGATTGCCTGAATCTTCTGCTGGTCCATCTTGATCCGCCCTTCCTCGATGACATGTCCGATGAAGTCAATTTGCTTTTGAGCAAAGGAGCACTTAGATAGCTTCGCATATAGTTCATGCTCCCGCAATCGAGCTAGGACCTTCCGCAAGTGCATCAAGTGTTCCTCCAATGTTTGGCTATATACCATAACGTCATCCAAGTAGACCACCACGAATTCATCAATGTACTCTCGGAAGACATGGTTCATCAAAGTGAAAAATGTAGCTGGGGCGTTAGTCAAGCCGAATGACATAACTAGGAAATCGTACGACCCATATCTTGTCACACAGGTCATCTTGTGCTCATCACCCTCTGCAATCCGAACTTACCAATAACCTGTCTTCAGGTCTATTTTGGTGAACACCGTCGCACCACCCAGTCTATCGAACAAGTCTGCCATTAGTGGAATAGGGTATTTGTTCTTCACAGTAATTTTGTTTAGAGCCCGACCCAGTCTATCGAACAAGTCTGCCATTAGTGGAATAGGGTACTTGTTCTTCATGTTTCTTTTGGAATAGCACAGGGGACCCGTATGGGGATTTGGAGGGCCCTATAATCCCTGTGTCTAGCATTTCCGTCAATTATCTCCGAAGCTCGGTGAGTTCGGGTTGTGGCATTCTGTAAGGCACCCGGGCGAGTGGATTCGCGCCCGACACCAGCTCAATTTCATGGTCTACAGTGCGCCTAGGCGGTAGTCGCTTTGGCATGTCTTGTGGCATGACATCTTCAAACTCTAGTAGTAGCTCCTTCACGGGTTCAGGAATGGGACCCGAGGAGCGTTCTACATCTTTGATGCAGAGGGTTGCCAGGAACGTGGGTTCATTTCTTTTGACCCCCTTCTTCAACTGCAAGGCCGAGATGTTTTCAACGGCCNTGACGACATTGAGCTTGTCTGTCAAGTCGTCAATAGTTTGTTGCATGGCAGTCACCCTGTCTGCCTCTTGTGCCCTGTAAGCTAAATCCTCGGCACGCTCCTGTTGGAGTCCCTCGAATTCGCCAAAAATTTTGGCTGCCTCTGTGGCTGCCGTTTGCCGGTCTCCCTCGGAGTCACGACTGATGTTTTCTTTGTCAACTTCGGCCTGGAGCACCCTGCGGTCTAGGTCGTCCAACCTTTGCCCTAGGCTAGTTCTTAGTTCAGGCACCATATCCATGATGGGCAGTAATCCATCAACCGTCTGTTCAAGGGCCGCAATACGGTCCCCATGATTCACCATGGTCAGAAATGGTGGTAATGGCAATGCGTTCCCTCGTCCGATGTCAAGCCTAGGCTCTGATACCAACTGTTACGCGATGCCTTCCTGAGATTCCTTGGAAGGGCGACGTAATGCTAAGCAACTGATGTCAGTGCAGTTGATGTCCGCCAATTGAGGTCCCCTCCGTACGCTAGACTAGATTGTTAGCGTCGTACGGGAAAACCAATGCCAAGAGCAATTGAGAGAACATGAATGAGAATTGAGAATGAAAGAAAGCTTGATTGCATTAATGAAAGCTATTACAGAAAGGCAACGCGGTGCCGAGAGGGAGAGACACCAGTACAGAGAATTGTTTGCTTGCTAGAAAGTTTGATTGCTTGATCCCCCCTAATAATGCTTAAAAAAATAATCCAAAGCTACAAGACTAGACTTGAGTAAGCTAGAGAAACATAATTGAAGTACATGGAATAAAACTACTCTATATTTACAATGAAAAAGACTTAGTTTGCTATAAGGCAAAAACAGGTCCGTTGTCAGCAGCATAGTCTTTGGCATCAGAGTCTGCGCGCTCGGCGTTGTCTGCGCGCGCGGCGCTGTTGGCATCTGCCTGCGGTTGGGCGTTGGCGAGGGATATCGGTGGGGTGACAGATGCACATGCGCGCTTGTCACTTGGCGCGGCCAAGACCACGGGGCCGTCCGTGGTGCTAGGCATTGGAAGGCTTGCTAAGGCGCCACGGGGCGCGCCCAAGGGGTCATGGGGCACAGCTGAAAAGCCGCCCATGACAGTTATTGTGTCACTTGTGTTTGCCTCTTCGTGATGTTGTTCTCCCAATATTTTGTACTCTATTTTAGATAGTGGATTGCTCATCTCCATCTGTGGACGTACGTAAATTGGCCGAACCACATTAAATGTTTGTGTCTCTTTTGATAGATTTATCTTTTGTTATCCGATTTATTATTGTTTAAGGTTTGTTTTACTAGCTTTCATATGACACCTGATTATTTCGATCCTAACATTCGCCCCTGTTAGCATTGGCCTTAATATGATATGCAAATTCTTGTATATTATTGTTATTTTTTAATAGAAAGCCGCTTGTTGCGGGTTGTGTGCAAATACGAGGAATAAAGGATTGCTAACTAGTAGCACATAATAGAGGCAGGATTTGAAATTATATTTAATATTATAACTCTTTTAAGTTATTGAGTTTTAAATTAATAATTAATATATATTTAATAAATTTTTTAAAATAAATATATAATTTGGACCAAAACAATTCGGGTGAACCTGCAAAGTATATTCTACCTCCGCCCCCTGCTTGGTGAGTCTATAGGGGAATGAGAACTTGAGTTTCGAGATGCTAATGAGGAATTTGTATGTTACATTAGGTTTGGTGACCCTAGGGATAAGGACACTTTACCTACTAAATCATTCTTTTATGTTCTCTAATTTTTATTGTGTTATTTTCATAATTAAAATGTTTTGCCCTCGTTTCCTTTATGTTTCTAAATTTGATAAGCAATAACGTTCTTAATATAGTTCTCGTGCATTTGACTAGTTTTACTAATTAATTATCCAACGTGGTATATTTGTCTTTGTTTTGAAATGGGAATCTTGAAAATTATTTGAAAATGAAAGGGAGGTTTTTCTAGAAGAAGTAAACTGATATTGGCTACTCTTTCACATAAATTAAACATAGAATGGAATTTAAAAAAATGTCTCTGCTGCTTCCCGTAGTTACTTCATTATTTATGACACGTCGAATTTCGAAGTCAATACTGTGAGTTTTACGACTAATTCGTTTAGAACCTCTTGTGATAGTTGTAACAAAACTTAACCTTGTACCTTTCACATTAATTTAAGTAATTAAATGAGAAGAAGCATACAACTTCTTTTTCTCTTTATGCTCATAAGCTTTTACAAAGAACTCACGTGACGAATAATACTTTAATTGTATTATTACTATTAAGTAAGAACACTTTTTTCTGGGGGACAACTTTTATGTTTTCTTTCGATGAAAAGTCAAAATACTATTAAGCGAAGGCCCGAGAACCATTTGAAAAGTTAAACGGGCTGGGAAGTGCCTCGATTTTTCTCATAATTTGTAAAGTTGGCCCTTAGTAGGTATGGGGATCGTTATCAACTGAAATTTTCTTTAAGAAAAAGAAAAACATTAATATCTCAACAATTTTATCTTGTCCAAAAGCATTAGAAAGTTACAAATGACTCTATCGCATCCATCATGTGTATAGTATGTAGGTGGTGCCATAACTTTCTGGTTAGATCTTATAGTACACAAGGCATCCACGTCCTTCAGGAAGGACCGCAGCCTAAAGGGTATGATGTATATAGTCTATCTTAATGCAAGTATTAATAATTGCTTCCATGGCTTGGAACCATGACCTATAATCACAAGAAAACAATTTTATTGCTCCTAATTAACATAAATAAAGAAACAAAGGGAGAAAAAGTGCAATAAAAAAAGAAGAATAAATAGCACTCACTTTAGATGTTCGAGTCTCTGTCATCTCGTTTCAGTTCATTCAATTTTGTTCCAAGAAAAGTGCCAAAAGAGAGATCAAGAAATTGAACCTTATGGACTCAACAGTGTCATTGACTTGCGATAACAAGTAAGTGCCTGAACCAATCAATCCTAATATGATATTGTTATAAGCAGTTAAAGTATACTAATAGTTGTATAAATTGTCAGTTTATATAACTTAAAAATTCAAAGGATGGAGCTGCACAATTCAACTAGAAAATTAAGAACAAGTCGTCCTCCACCACGGTGAAGTACTCCAACTAAGACCCAGCCTTGTGATGCTAGATTCATCTGAATACAATACTAGATTCATCTGAATACAATACTTTTGACGTGAAGTATATAAATATGTATAAAAATTCACTAAAGTTACAATAAACAATAAATGTGACCCATAATTTTTACCATAAAATAACTTTAATGCAAAAGATTTAAGATTAAACCATAGTTTTAAGTCCTGAATCTGCATCAGACGATCTCTAAAGTACCAAATCCTGCAAAGCCAGGAGCTTTATCGAATTACAGAGTTCAATATAGACAACACAAGGGAAACAGACCACGTTGTTAGGAAGCTTCCTTAATTTGGCCAAAGGCCTAAAGGTATTTGTAGTATGTTTTGGTCCACAAGCAGGACACGTGACATTCACACATTTATGTGGAGGGGTTAATTAGGCCAACTAGTCTGGCCAAGATTTGGGCAATGAAATGGACAAGTACGTGGCTACTCAAATCTGCCACATATATTGTTTCTCCAATTACAGGTATTTCGTATATACAAAATTCAATAAGCTGAGGTGAAATAGAGTTATAAGCAGTCAATGTAAATAATTTTTTACACTGTTACAGTCTCAAATACATATAATACATATAGTTAAGCTTTTTTAAAATGCAAAATTTATAACCTAAAAATAAAACTAAGTTACAACAAATAAAAATTATTTGATAGTGTAAACATTCCTGACGATACATATAACTTAAAATGCATTTTTTTAATATATAAACAGAATTTGCAAACCTCGAAGTGTTTTCAGCCCATTTTTATAAATTCTCATAACTGGGCACAACTGAACAAGTTTCATATATTCTTTAACAAATGAGAAAGTCTCAAACCCTCTTTCAGATAAATTAAAAAATTACACTTATATGATCATTTTCAAAAAATTGAGAGCACAAATTACAAGAGGAAAATAGGAGATGAAATTAATCAAGAATACAAAACCAAACGCTTAGAACAGAGAGTACAAAGATACTTCCTCTTGAACCTAAAGCAAATAGGGAGAAAGCAAAATCTGAAGCGTCCTTCTACATCTACAGCTTGTACTTTTCCTCCACAACAAGGACATGCTCCTGGTGCTACTTTTCTTCCAATCTCTTTCTCATCTTCTTCACATACACATGAGAACAAACACATCTTCTCTTTTTTTAGTATTTATTTTTCAGCTTCTTCTCACTGCAATTTCTCTCCTTAAAAATTGAAATAAAAAATGGGAAATAGTTCTTTTTTCTTGAGGAGTTTTTGCAGGACCGAGAAGAGAGAGAGAGAGAGACAAGGGTTTTGGTGTATACGATGTTTTGGTGATATTTTTTGGGGGATGAGAGTACGAGAAGTTATATAGCTTGTGTGTGTGTTGTGTATATATAGAAGCATATACATCCTGCTCTGTGCATATAACAGTGGTCCTATTTCTTTCCTAATCTGTATAAAAAAAAATAATATTTGGATCTTATCTGTCGTTATTTTTAAAAATAATTATTTCAAATTATTTATTATTTTAGAAGTTTAATAATAAATTAATTAATTTTTTTCTATTCTATACTTAATATTAATTGTTCTTGAAAACTATAAATATTTGAATAATGTGTAAGTATTAAATGAAATGAGATTATATTTTAAGACGTAAAAAATGATAAAATAGACAACAATCTTTTATATTCAATATTTTATTAAAAATCGTGTAAACAAAATGACAATTACTTTGAGACGGAAGGAGTAATATTTTTATATTTATAATAAATTCTCAAAAAAGTTCTTTTAATAATAAATTATCATAGCGACACTAATCTTATAAGATATACTATCAAATTATAAGTTTTAAAAGTATTTTTTTTTGTAATACTCTGTTACCAATTCAACAAGATGGGATAAAATAAAGACATTTTCACAAAAATAGCCAGCCGGATGTAATGCTTTTTTTTTAGTAATATACATAGATTATATATTGATTATATATAATTATACATATATTACATATGAATTATACATGTATTACATATCCGTTAGCGATTTTTAGTTTAACGATTAGGTGGATTACTATTTAAGTTAATTCATCTAAAATAACACAGCTGAAATATACTCCCTCTGTCTCATATTAACAGTCGTGGTTACTAAAAATAGTTGTCTTAAATTATTTATCACTTTAAAAGTTCAAGACAAAATTAATTATCTTTTTTCTTTTTTATCCTTAATAATAATTATTCTTGAAGACTAGAAACACCTAATTTTATTCAAATACCAATGAAAAAAAATTAAATATTAATACATGAATAATAATAAAGTGATCAAAATCTCATCCTAATTAATTTTTCAAGCGGGTGTACAAGAGCATCATAATAAATAATATGAGACGGAGGGAATAATATAATATACATTATATGCGTATGCAATATATACACGTGCTTTAGGTGGGTTGGGGGTTGTCTTCTAGGAAAACGGAGAGATTTCGAGAAGATTCGGCGCCCGCAGTTTTAAGAAACTCCGTGGCTAAGGCTAACTCTCGCATAAAGTAAGGCCAAACAGGAACCAAGCACTAGTCTGATTTTGTCTTTTCTTTTGCTAATAAAACGACATGTCGTTATTACTTGTCAGAGAAAAAATGTTATTACTTATTAAAATTAACAGAAATAAGATCCACTATTACAAGTATGGGTGTCAATAGATATTTAAAAATCGATTAAACCTACCGAACCGTATCGTATCGAACCGATTTTTAGGTTTCTTCTAATAAAACCGTAGGTTTTTATATAAATCTATAATCGAATCGATAATTAGGATTGATTTTTTATTTTATGAAAATAAACCGAAAAAATACCGAACCTTACCGAATAAATACCGAACCTTACCGAATAAATTTACAATGTAAAAAATATACTTATATATTATGTTTAAAAATAATATAGCATTAAATTTTTTCTAGGGCTTGGAATTATGAAATAGTTACAAGCCAACAAGTAATTAAACTTAAAATCTAAATTCCCAAACCTATTATGCTACTCCTATTGAAACTAAATTATTTCCGGCATATTCACTAGCAAAACACAAGGTATTGTAGCGATTATGAGTAACAAACTAAAATGTATTGAATATGTGTCCTTTCGTATGATTTAGATTTATCTTTTTGAATATTTGATCTTCTATAGACTTTAGTCTTGAGACCCAGCTTGGTTATTATCTTTCCGCTCGTGTGATTTATATTTTTTTTGTATATTCTTAGTTTCTTTTACACTGATGTAGAATAGTTGATGGATCTATACTCTAGTCTTCTTTTATATTTTCTTAATTTATCATCTTTTAAACTGTAAAAATGTCTAGAGAGTTTTGCTAAATCTTATAAAAGTACGTATGTTGTTACATTTTACTTCTACTAGTGATTTTTACAAGATATTTAAAAAATTACCGAATATTACCGAACCGTACCGATACCGAAGAGAAACCCACATGATTGGGACGGTTTCGAAAAGTCTAATTTTTGTTATATATAATAGAATAACCGAAAAATTAGTATAATACAAATTTTATAAAATAACCGGCCGAACCGAACACCGAACCAAACCATTGACACCCCTAATTACAAGCCTGTTTTAATCGCGGAGTATCATAACCGAAATTGTCTTTCTGAAAAATAATAAATGAAATGAGGGAGGGTGGCGTGATACTGTGATTTTGTTGGCAAATGGCACGTTAGATGGTATAAATAAGTAGGGGGCTATTCTAGACCAACCAAATATCACATCGAACAAAAAGAATTAATCAAATTGACCTGAGAAATTGTTGTCGATGGTTTGATTTTAATCAATTTTGTGTTAAATTTATATTTCGGACAAACTAAGGGCTCGTTTGATACGAGGGATAAGAGATAATTAATCTCGAGATTAAATTGAGATGAGTTTATTTCATATTTAGTTGAGATAAAATCGTGATATAACTAATCCCGGAATTATAATATTTTTTTTATATCCATAAGAGAATGAAATAACTAATCTCAAAATAATTAATCATGAAATAACTTGTTTCCCCACAAACGACGCGTAAGAAGGTGTTTTAATTTGGTGTTAACCCAAAAGGATTGAATCATAATTATAACTGACCAGATATATATATAACGGTGATATCCGAATCAGTCTAGCATAAATATATGATGATTCTGCCACTAACTATAGGTAGGTAAAAAAAACTATATATCTCGTCATAAATTAAACTTTTATTTTCTGATTGTTATGTCTTTGGCATGTGGTTTCGGGATTCCTTTTTTTTTTTTTTTTTG